TAGAAATGGACTGGACAAAAATAGTCTTGATGTAGGCTCATCAGCAGCATTTATGTGCATGTATATATTAATTTTATTATTTCAAAGGATGGGGGAAAGTAAAACCAGAAAGCTCACAGTGACACCAGGTGCCTGATCCATCAGAAGAGATTCGAGTAATGTTTAGCTGTATAGACACTGATGTTTCAAATTTTCTGGAAGAAACTATGCCAGCCTCTAGTGTAAACTACTCAAAGGTTGCAGTGACAGACTGAGTCACTGCACTCAACTCAAAAGATGCTCAAGACCTCACTGCAGCAGTGCAAAGTGATGCTAATAATTATTTGTGGTTTTCAAAGTAAAACCTTAAATGAATACTTTCCATTTGTGTAAGTAACTTTTTGAACTTTCAACATATTTTAACAGTGCTGTGATAAAACCGATAACCGTGGTATTTTGGTCACTATAATCAGAATGTTAAATTTTCATACGTTACATCTCTAAAGGGAAGATGTTATTTTCCTTTGTTAATGCAGCATGCATCAATTGTCCAGCACATACAGCTGTGACAGCATTAGCAGTTATGATTTACCCCCCCAAGGCCTTCTCTTATAAACTCTTTACGAGCTGATTGTCACTGTGTGTGTGAGTGAGGACTTGTCCAGAATAAAAGAAACCCAAAACCCCAAGTCATGGAAGAATGTTCTTTCTAGTAACATTTAGACTGAAACAAGGAGCAATATGGGGGGTTAGTATTAGGCTGACAAAAGCAGAGGAAGTCTGATTTGTCATGAGTGTGAAAAAAGTGATTCACAGCATGTGATTCAAACCACAGTCTTAAATGCAAGACAAAAACATAATGCCACAATTCAAAGACAGAGTGTGTGTGTGTGTGCGTGCGTGCACACGCATGTACAGTACTTGCTTGTGGTCGACTTTATGTGGACCTGTCTAGTCTCGTTTACATAAAGCTGGTGGTTTGTATTGCCACAGATGATGATTGGGTTACATGTGCTTCTGCTTTCCTGAAAACTAAGCTGAGATCCACTGCTGTTATCTGAGATACAAATGAACTACATACCTAACATCTTATTTACGCTGTGTGTTAGAGTCAATTTGCTGTTGATATATAAGAGTCTTAGAAGATAAAACTACAAAATGTCAAAGTCACATCAAATGTGCCTCTGATTTGACTAATTTCCTGTTACAGCTGCTGCTTCGAAACCTTCCTGCTTCACAGTAGCATACAGCCAGAGATTTACATCTTCTTTGTGAAACCCTGACATAAGCTGTTAATACAGAGCTGTGGCCCACATGAGACAAAATGTCCATACAAACTGAAAAACTGAGTCAGAACAGCAACACATCCTGTATCAGATAACTACGGTATACATACTGCTAAGAGCCTGGATGCTGACCAAGAAACAAGAGGAGGCTAAACTGAACCGACAGGCTGGCTACGCTCACTTCCTCAGATCTATAGCTCATCATTGATAACACAGAGGCATCCTGAGCTTCTCAGTGAGGGTTTTCTGTAAGTGTGTTGAATCTGAAAAAAATAAATAAATAAATAAAACTGAATGGTCAAGAGCAATTTGGGGGGGGGGATATGATGTTACCATCATATCGTTGGTTGTGAACCATGCACTGCACAACCATCCACGAACATGCCATCTCGGTTGACATGCATGTTCAACAGCATGCGTAAATAATATGTTAAATTGGCTTAGTCGTGTGCTGTGATTTATGCATTCATGACTGTGCTTATACAGGGTAGGCCATGGAAAAGTAGCCCACCTCCAGCGATAGTATGAACAAGCAAGTGGATTGTTTCGAAGGTGGGCTACTTTTCCGTGGCCCACCCTGTAGCAGGACTGTGTCAGTATGGAAGCTACTCAGTACAAATGTTGTCTTAATGGTCTCCATCATCAATAATAGAGTGAGGCTGACAATTTGGCCTCACAATACTCAGCATCTCAGAAAGCCTATGTCTGTTTATTAATACTGCTCTAATTCATCATCTGATGTAATGAGACATTCTTAATTAAATAAATGGAGAAAACTGATTAAATTAGGAACCTGTTCTGGTCATCCAGACATCTTTACAATAACAAACCAACAGCTCCTTTGTCATCTCTTCTTAAGATACAAAAACCTGAAAACGCTCACACTTGAACCAAGCAGACAAACACACTGCGCACAACTCAAGTAATATAACTGATGGACTCATCAGCGGCCCTGGTTGAAAGGGATGACATCACCAGACACATAATGCAGCCTCAGCATTAACTGTACATTAACAGACATGCTGAAAGCCTGAGGTGGAGCCCATGTCTCCTCAGTTGAAGTACCTTCATGCAGAGGTCAGTGGAGGACAGCAACATCTTGAATATCTCCCCTTAATACACAACACTAAAGGCAAGCCTTAATGTCCTTCTGCATTCTTTAATGGACAAGACAATGACAATTACATGGAACAAACCACACATTTATCACAGCAGAAAGTGGAGAACACAAAACTTTTTCTACTGTTAAAGCAGGTTGTTGTCACAAGTACAAAGATATTTCCATTTTGGAAAAAGCTTCCACTGGACAGCTAAAAAAAAATGTATTAAAACAGTTGTAACTATCTCCTACTGTCCAGCATATAGAACACTAAACTGCTAGTTGTGTGAAAAGTTACATGATGAACATGTAATATTAAGCTCCCATCTTCTCTGTCATTGTGAACATTTTCCGCCTGACCACCTGCTGTAAAATACCCCAGATACATAGTACAGCAGTGTACAGTACACAAGCAAACCCTTACAAATGGAGGATCACTTCACACACTTTGCTGCAGGTGTGAAATCTGACTTCCTACATTTTACAGCGAAATGAAACTGGATGGACAGCGCACCAGTAAATGCAACAGAAACTGTTCAACTCCCTGCACTTGTCGCAGCCCCTCAGCCAACAACATCAACATCACTTCACATGCTCTTTTCAGCATCACATGCTCCTACTGAGCTGTTTAATTGGACTGGAGAAGCTCCTCTGGTGTCTGTATGCTCCATGGACTTCACCAGTCACCATTCACCACATCTGCAGGGTTTAAGTAGGGAATAAAGCCTGGTATCAGGTACATGCAAGCTGCAGCCATGTAACCTTACAGTATAACAGAGCTCAGCAGGGAGCTCTGACCTCTGCTGCTGTAATGCCATCTGCATCAAGACAGCCAGTGCATTATGGCAAATTCATCTCACGCCACCCCAACATTATACATAAATGGAAGGCAATTTACACCAACTTACAGTTAGGTTAGTAGTGAAATCCCAGTGAAAAAAAGAGGAGCTGATGCAGTGGACGAAGGACAAATGAAACCATACTCAATGCATCTTGATACCCACAGGCTGACAGTGTGTTGAACTACCACGGATCAGAGGCCATGGAGCACATCTGTGATGGTCACACAGGAGAGCAGCTGTGCCTCTAGTGCAGAATGCTGCGGATTCCTCCCAGCGAAGTGAGTGTTTCAGGATTGGGAAATCCCACATTCAGAGCAACGTCTAAACACTTCCTGAGAGAAACATTCCCCGACTTTGGCTCAAGTGGAGCTGGCAAGCCCAGTCTCCAGTGAGACAGCAGAGTGTGGGTTCAGCTTTCACCAAGTCAGCTGAGTTCACACCACAGCTAGCCAAACTTCCTGTAAATGGGTTGTTCATATTTTAATGGTAACTGTCTAATTTTCTAAAATTGCAGTTCATTTTTCTTGTACGATGGCTGCAATGTTCTTAGTGGCCTCTGCCACAAAGCCATGGCATGAAAAGTGGCAGCACATTAGCTTGTTCTATCTATTAATTCATCTAAATTAAAATGAAAATGAATGAAAAATAAATGCTATTAAATAGGCTGTGTCTTATCATTAAAAAAAGAAAATTAAACTGACAGGTAATAATAAAATTATTATGACCCTGTCCACCAAAATGACAGACAACAAAAAGTCTAGCATGACCTCTGACACACTACATACATCTATAATTTAATAATAATAAAATACTATCTCATACAGTAGCAGATGCTGCCACATTCAAGTGTATACCTTAATGTTCAGTTTGAGCACAGACAGGAGTGAAATCATTTCACCTGCAGTGTTGTGTTATATACTGACAGCTGCTAGCTAGTGTTAGCTCCAGAACTGAGAGCTGAGATCAGGGTGCAGTCATTTTTCAGTCTGTCACTCTCATCAATGGGATCTCAAGGTCTGCAATGAGTTAGCTAAAGTCAGCTAAGGTTATCCATACTGAATTACCAGTCAGTAAAGTGAGATCGAAATGATTTTAGCAACTTTTTAGCCAAAGAAAATAACAATGTATGTAGGTAAATACATCTCCTCCCAAAATGGCTCCCCATCCCAACATTTAACACAATGTGACATAGCTTCACATTCTCTATTTGAGTTTGCCTGGGGCCCCCAAATCACTAAATCCACCCCTGCACGCCCCAGAATATGAATTGGCTTATCAACAGAAAGAATCGTTAATAATAAGCCTTAATGTGTGTAACACCTGTTGTTCTGTTTTGGGGAAGCGTCTTGCCATTTCTTAATTTCTGGGGTTCGTCAAAAACAAAACAAGGAAGTTACATGCCGTGGCAACCAGAATGTGCTCCAGGATGTGGGTTTCAAACGGCGTGACTACAGAGCAGCACCAACTAGCTGAAATGGCACCGCACAACTGATTGCGCGGCTGCTGCTCGTGCTTTGTGGAGGGTGGGAACACTCCGTCCACTCCCTGCACGGCACCACCGAAATCCGCGGTGTCTTCGCCAAATTTTCAGACGGTCACTGTCACTAAACGGTCGTTAAAACCGTCGAGAAAGAGCTACACCGCTACCACACAGCCCTTTGTTTATTCTTGTGTCCACCATTACGCAGTAAAAGTTTATTTACATCAAGCCTCTCTGCGCGCTTCACTTAGCCAGACACACGCTGGCAAAATGCTCCTCACCCTGTGTAGAAAAGCCGTAGAAAGGAAGCTCACCTTTGTACTGCAGCGAGTTGCTGGTTCGTATTTTCACTGTCCCGCTAATAGACTCTCCCGGACCGTAAACCACCTTATTGTTGGTAAAAGTGATGTGAAATTCTTGAAGCTTTCCCATGGCTCCGCTCCTTTGCCGCTGTGCGACTGATGCGCTCTCACCTGCTGCCGCGAGAGCCCCCAACCCCCTCACCCCCTCATCCTCAGAGAACAGTGACGTCACTTCGACTGAAGCCCAAGCCCATTGAAAATAACCGGGAGTAAAAATCTCTGACGTAATTCGAGCGCAGGATCACATGGGGTTAAAAAAAAAAACAAAAAACAAATAGAGAGACTTGACCATCTTAATTTTGCAAAGGATTTAGTATTATTAGAATATTATACACTATGTTATCTTTAATATTGTTCATCAAGTTTTAAAATAGAGTTTCAGTTTATTCTGTGATATACTAGAATGTTTAGTGTAGTAGTATCTTTTCCGGTTCTTTCTAGAATAATGAAGTAAGAAAGATGTTAATATATACTTTTTGAGAATTTTTGGACCGATACCCCCGTGTTCAAATGAGAGATACTTATAAATTAGATATATTACATACAGTAATTATAGTATATCCT